TGGTAGTCTCAGGGGAGCCCCTATCAACTACTCAGGGATTGGGGTGAAAATTAGAAAATCTCTATGGTAGGACTGTAAGAAGCCTAATTTTCTGTAGGCAGAGGGCAGGCTGTTTTGAAAATTGGGCCCAGGACCTGATGGTAAGAGTGCTGGGTAACACAGGAGGTTGAACCCCGAAGCTCAGACACCCCTCCTTTAAGGGAAGGCCTGATGGTGAATACGGGGTCCCGAGACCTGGAATAAGGCATTTGAGTTGTGGTCTGAGAAGTTTGCTTCAGCCCACCAGGCGCAGGGCACAGTCCAGAAGAGTTCTCCCTGGGGTTGAGGGACACAATTAAAGCCTCAGCGTCCACGGCAGAGCAGGAACTAGGGTGTCCCCCTGACTCAGGCAAGACACAAAGGGGCCACTGGAGTCCTCTGCTTCCACAGGGCTGGAGAAGCCGTGGTGTGGGGAAGCTGAGCAGGGCTGTGCTGGGCAGGGCTTCCCTCCCGCTTTGAGTCCCCTGGAGGACCATGTGCACACCCAGGGAGGCCACAGGCAACCTGAGCCTGGCTTGTCACCATGGGGTCCTGGGAGGGATGTGCAAAGTCTCTGGGGAGGGCCATCGGGACCCTGTCCCCTCCACCTAGGACTCCCAGCATCAGTGGTCCCCATGCAGGGGTCTGAGGGCCGGGGCTCTGCAGGCTCAGTGCCCTCAGAGAGATTTTCAGACACATTGCTAGACCTCAGAAGGGATGCAGGTGGGATGGGTGACCAGCATGGTGGGCCAGGAACTGGAGGGCCTGGGGGTGAGGTCTGGGGAGATGAGGCTTGGCCTGTGTTGTCCCTCCCTGATGGACAGTCCTTGGCCACCCGCCCATCCAAGCTAGGGACAGATGCTGTGTGGGAGGCTAAGGGGTAAACGCCCTGTTTCCTGGGAGCAGTTGTGGTTCTGAGGGAAACCACAGGGTGGGTCAGGCGGTGCCCGGCTGTGGCAGGCCCCCAGGGGAGGGCAGGGCTGCACCTGACCCACCTGGCATCCTCCTGCTGGCTCTCCCCAGGCTGCGGGCACAAGGGGCAGCGGCCTTTGTGACCAGGCTGCCTGGCCCTTGGTTCTGCCTGACCCCGGGATGAGCTGGGCTCAGGTGCTGGGGCAGGGAGGGCCCCTGGGGAGGAGGCGCGGGCACCTGGAGCTCCTGAGGCCTCAGGTCCCACCGGGGCCCAGCTGTGGCCTCTGCTGCCCTCGGGGTGGCCCACAAAGTGAGTTTTAAAGGAGTGAGGTGCTTCGAGGTGGTCTCCTCTGAACACCCGGCCTGTGGGCGCACCTCCCACTGCTCTGGGTGTGCAGACCCTTCTCCAGCCACCGAGATGAGGCAGGACGGCACCCCATCGCCTGCTCCAGGCCCAAGGACGGGTCCTGAGCTATCCCCAGGGAGCGCGTGCTCTTGACTGACCCCGAGGGAGGGATTCTAAAGTGACGGGTGTGGGTGGAAGCTGGCCAGAGGCTGTCAAGGTGTCTGGCTAAGTAGGATCAAGGCTCTGAGTGGGCCTCTTGCAGAACTGGCCCCTGTCCTGCTGAGCATGAGGGCCACGCTGGGCGTGTGCTCTTTGCTGTGGGCCTGTGGGTGAGCACAGGCCTGGCTTTGGTGGTGACCAGGGGCCAGTGCTGGCTAAGGGCCAGCTTAGGTGTTTCTAGATCCTTCTGTCTAAGGAGCACCTACTGTTGGTGGCTGCAGCCGCCTTTGGATCCCCAGACTCAGTGGGATCCGGTCCCCAGCGGGTGCCTTTGCCTCTTGGTGGCCCTGGGTGCTCCCTTGGAGACTCAGGTGCTCCTCCCAGTCCCCATGTGTCTTCTTGGGAAGGGAATTCTGGGAGCCTTCCCTGACTCCACGGGGCCACGCTCTCCTCCTGCTGCCGCGCCTCCCAGGCCCAGGTGGTCCGCCCCTCTGGTGCCTGCTGTTTCCCTGGCTGCTCTCCAGGCTCTCTGACCTCTCTGTCCACCAGCCTGGTGGGACGGGGTGACGGACGCTGGCACCTCGTTAGAATTTCTGTATCCATAAGTCGGGGTTTCAGCCCATTGAAGAACTTGTGTGTTTTAAAGACTTTTCCAGCCCCATTTTTCTGGCCTCTGCTCTCGTGGGACTCCAATGCCACGTATTTTAGGAAGCTTCGTAGTGGATCATGGGATCTGGAGTCTCTTCATTTCTCCCAGTGTTTTTCTCCCTGTTCTCTGATGACGGAAAAGACTGCCTGGAGCTATGTCTTCAAATCTTCTGGCCTTCCCCATGCCTCTCCAGCCAGCTCTTAGGCTCAACAGGCTTTTATTCTTTAAATTTCTCTGCACTTTTTTAGTTGTAGAACTTTCATTTGTTTCTTGAGAATTTTCTGTTACAGATATTTTTGGTGGAGTTTCCCTATCTATTCACTCATTATGGTCATATTTTCTTTTTACATATCTATCTTTTAGTCGTAGTTGGACACAATACCTTTATTCTGTATATTTATCTTTATGTGGAGTGGGATGGAACCCAGGGCTTGCACGTGCGAGGCGAGCGCTCTCCGCTGAGCCCCGCCAGCCCCATATGACCATGTTTTCCATTCAGCCTTTGACCACGGTGTTCTTTAGAGTCCTCTCTGAGGACTGGTCTGTGTCATGTGGAGACGGCTGTCCCAGAGCTGCTTTTCCGGGTGCGTGAGGGTGGCGCTTCCTTTTCTTTGCGTAGCTGCAGTGGTACGTGGTAGTGCCCGGCCTTGGGCCTTTCTGTGGCCGCGTGTTGGGATGGTGACGGTCACTGCTCGGAGCCGTCCCTGGACTGGCCTGCACTGAGGGAGCTCAGTGTCCTGCACTCAGTGTCCTGAGTGCCCAGGGGCAGCTGGAGACCTGTGTAAAGCCCGTTGGTTCTCCTGCCCAGTCTCCTGAGCCACTTGGGTTTCTCATTGATCCATAGCGTTCTCCATCCATCCTGGCCCCGCTTCTCCAGCCACGTGCTGCCAGGAACGTGGCACAGGACAGACACCGATGGGATGGCTGTGCCCCAGTGGGAAGAGGCTGTGCCTGGTACAGCCCTGGGCTCTGTGGGGCAGGGTGCCCTTCCTGGTCCTGGAGCTGCTGTCCCTCTCTCTACGTATAGAGATTGACAGCAGTGCCCCTCTGTCTGCACAGGTGATGACTGATGATGATTGACAGCAGTGCCCCTTCTGTCTGCACAGGTGGGAACTGATGGATGATTGACAGC